AATATATAGGGAACTTAAGCAGCTTATCCACAAACACACACACAAAAAAAACTAACCTAATTAAAAGGTGGGCAAAAGACCTAAACAGAAAACTCTCCAAAGAAGACATTATGAATGGCCAAAGATCATATGAAAATACACTCAACATCTCTTCATTAGGGAAATGCAAATCAAAATCACAATGAGATACTCCTTAACCCCAATCTGAATGCTAAGATTAAAAATATAAAAAATAGTTGGGACCAGCAGTTAGTGTAATGGCTATGTTGCTGGACTCCCATGTAGTCGACTGTGGTTCGAGTCCCCGGCCCGGTGGCTTAAACTCACACTGGGCACATGTGCATACATGCCCAAGATCCCAAGAGGAGAATGGAGGAGAAGGGATTGTGGCATGGCCATCCCCCCTGGGGGGTGATTTCTCGTTTTCTGTCTGTCTGTCTCTCTCTGTCTTTCTGGTGAGCACACACGCCCTATAGCAAAAGCCTTTCCAAAATAAATAAATAAATAAATAAATATAAACATACATATATATATATACTATTCATATATATATATATATATATGAATAGTAAGTGCTGACTAGGCTGTGGTGAAAAGGTGACCCTACTACACGGTTGGTGGGAATATTAATTAATATACAACCACTGTGAATAATAATATGGAGATTCCTCAGAAATCTAAAAATAGAAATACCATATGACCCAGTAATTCCACTCTTAGGTATCTACCCAAAGGACAGGAAGACAGTCAGAAAAACACTTGCACTTCCATGTTTATTGCAGCATTATCCACAATTGCTAGGACATGGAATCAACGCAAATCCCCAAGAACAGATGAGTGGTTTGAAAACCATGTGGCACATGTACACTATGAAATACTATTCAGTCGATTAAAAAATGAGACCCTGCTATTTGATACATAGTGGATAAATATGGAAGATCTAATGCTAAGTGAAGCAAGCCAGACTATGAAAAACAGGCATTGTATGAATCCCCATAATACATAACAAATGTCTGCGCTCTAGAGCAGAAATGAAAAGATTGGAAGGTACAATAGCAGGGAGGGTAACTGTGGATACTACAGACAGTATTGGGGGGGGTGGGGGGGAGAGGATCAGGGAAAAAACAAAACATTTAATAGACACAAAAATGAAAAGCTAACTGTTGATGATAATGTGTATGGTAATATCTTTGACTTAACTAATATGCGCTGTATTCATGCTAAAAGAATGAGGTATGCTGTAAAGATGTACAGTGATTAAATGCAAATTTAAAAATAATTGATTGTAGCACCTTTGCTTCTATATAGCTAAGTAAAATATAAAATTAAAAAAATGTACTCAATAATCCAGATGTTTTCAAACATCTCATGGACAAATTATTGTGAAGATAAAACATCTGAGTTAATGACAATTTCAGCTTTTACACAGATTCGTGAACTTAGTAAATCTAGTTCTCCATGAGAGAGTAAACGTTTACATTATTACAATATAAAGATAGAGCTTAATCAGTCAGCAGTACTGAACAGTGACAATTCTTTCCTAAAATGCTCCTGACAAGGAACGGAGGGTACTGACCAGTTCTCAGGTTTTCCACAGATTAGTTCTCAATTTAGATTTTTTGATACTATTTAAATCAAACGTCAGAGAGTATTAATATTAATATATCAAAAGAGGATGTTAGTCTCTAAAAGTCTGTTATTGCTAATACAAATTATACTTGGGTAACAAAAACAACTTGATAATGTAAATGAATTGACTGTGGAGTACCTTCTTACAACCCAAGTCACAGGAACAATCAATTTTTATTCATACATTTTAGTTACTTAACATATCTGTTACTAATTTCAAATTATACATCACAGTTTCTAAACAGCTCATTTGTACACATGTATTAATGTAATCAGAAATGAAAATCATGAATTATTCATATATATATGTAGAGGGTTCCTGAAAGCATGCAAGCATATTAAAAATATCAATTTCTAAGTCAATAACAAGACAGAGACTGCAAAAGCCATGAAATCTGAAATAAAGAAAAGTGCCCTTGAGACCAGCAGTTAGCGTAATGGCTATGTCGCTGGACTCCCACGTAGTTGACCGCGGTTCGTGTCCCGGACCCAGTGGCTTAAACTCACGCTGGGTGCCTGTGTGTGCATGCCCAAGATCCTGAGAGGAGAATGGAGGAGAAGGGATTGTGACGTGCCCATCCCCCCTGGGGGGAGATTTCTCACTTTCTATCTCTCTGTCTCTCTCTGTGTGGCTGACCAGGGCATGTGCCCTATAGCAAAAACCTATTCAAAAAAAAAAAAAGAAAAGGTGTCCTTTGGTCAAAGCTTAACCTTTCCTTAAAAACTAATAGGTGCTTACCAGTATACTTCTTTGGAGAAGTATCTAGCATCTATTTGATATGTAAAACAAATTTATGAATGCGTAGAAATATTTGATTTTATTCTTTTACTTGTCTCTGTATCCTGGAGACTTAAAATAAATGCATCATTTTAAGAAAAGAAAAATGTGAGGCCAGCCAGGTGGCATGGTGGTTAAGGCAGCTAGATACAACATGACTGACTGAGTGGTTCTAGTCCCAGACTGGCAACTTGAAATCATGCCAGGTGTGTGTTCATGCATGCCCAAAGTCCCAACCGAAGAATGGAAATGAAGGGATTGCAGTGTGGTCATCTTCCTGGAGGGTGCTTTCTTACTTTCCTCCCTCCCAATTCCTCGCTTGTGTGCCCTATGGAAATTAAAAAAGAAAATAAGGGAGGGAGGGAGGGAGGGAAGATGGTAGAAAGAAAGAAAACAGTTGCAAAGACTAAACATCATTACTGCATTATACAAATTCAAAAATGATAAATTGATTTTTTTATGCAAATGAATGGATAGTCTAACTAGGTTTTACTATCAGCTAATATCTGTGTCACGTAGAATAACATTGTTTCATAAGGTCAAAACAATGTATCCAATTAGTTATCCATTTACTACCTATTCATATATATGTATATATGCATATATACAAATATTTCATTGTACTTAACTGGACATGATATTAAATGTAAAATCACAACAGTGGGGAAGGATGAAAATAATTGGTAATTTTTTAAGTACAATTCCACTATGCTCCCATAGAAATGAGTAGCCATTCCAACCTGATTACAGGGACAGCAAGCTGACACAACGTGGCTATTAGTTCCCTCTAAACAATACATTAAAGAAAAATTGCAAGTTCATATGAAACTCAGTACCCACAAAACCTCAAATTCTTATTTTATGGGCTTCAGTGAGCTCTTTCATAAGCCCGAATGCACTAACTACTTACATCTGCACAGACTGTTTTGTACAAAGATGTGTACAAGAGAAAAATCAAACAATCATAATTGTATTTATGAACATGCTGGTTTTCTTCAACAGCCATAGTCACTTCTGGGGGGAAAACAAAACTCTTCTGCAAGCGTTTGTGTAAGATCCCTTGTGTGAGGGAAGCAAACCCTATGTTTGGATCAGGTAAGGAAAACAGTTTCAAAAATGTTTTCTAGTTCATGTCCAGGAAAATAACTGTTAAAGTTTCCAGGCTAAAAGGAAATCTTTAGTAATATTATAAATAATAATAATGCTATCTTTATAATACTGTATACTCTTTCATGGAGGGGCAATAATTCTTAACTTTTTTTTATGCACTTCTACACATAATATTTATCTTTACCCAAATTCAGTCTTATCTTTTGTATATATCCTGAATAGTCACTAATCTGAATTTATGTAAGTATTTACCCTTAGCAAATAAAATTAGAATAGAAACCCTCTGATTTTTATCTTATATGAAAAAATGTCTTCAGTTCTGATTATTCATTTTATATTTCAGATTACAAAGGATATAGAAAACAGTTTTTTCAAAGCATCCAAAGGGAGATTATGAAAAGTATAGTTTCTTAGAATATTAAAGATCTAAAATATCAAACACTGAGCTTTAGATTTAGTCATTTATTTGATTTTCTAGACTATAATCATTTTAAAAATCATACCAAATTTTTGCAAAGAAACTTTATTAATTTGTCATCCAAATTTGATACTCTGCCCCAGATGCTCAGAAGGTAGAAAATATATATATATATTTACATGTATATATGTATATACATATATTTACATGTATATATGTATATACATATATATATATATGTATATGTATGAACACAATCTTGGAGAAAAATTAATTTCTCTGTTAGGAAGACGAGAGATTAGATTTTTATAAAACACAAGACAGTTGCCAGACAATATTATGAGAGAAAAAAAATGCTTTAAAAATGTACTTTGGGAGCAGTGTACAATGTATATAAGAAAGCAGAGAGAACAGTGATGAGGGATAAGTATACTTTTTTTTTTTTTTTGAGAGGTTTTCATTATAGGGCACATGTGCTCAACAGAAAGACAGAGAGGCAGAAAGTGAGAAATCACTCCCCAGGGTGGATGGCCACGCCACAGTTCCTTCTCCTCCATTCTCCTCTTGGGATCTTGGACATGCATGCACACACGCCCAGCATGAGTTTAAGCCACCAAGTCCAGGACTTGAACTGCTGTCGACTAGATGGGAGTCCAACAACATAGCCATTACACCAACTGCTGGTCCCATGAGTGATGAGTATACTTTAAACCCAGGAATATGATATGCCGCTTTCTCAGTTCAAAAGCAATGGAAGCTCTGATGGTGAGTTGAATCCAACAGATACCTCAAAATAAAATCTAAGGTTTAGAAACTCACTGAGTATAGGACACAAAAAAAGGGAGGAAAAAGAAGCTTTTAGTGTTTTATACCTAGGGACCAAGAGAAAGGTCACATCGATGCTACTTATAAAAACATTAACAAATCCAATGTTTATTTCTATTGAAACCTGAACTACCTGACTTCTGAGGTTGTTCCTCATGGTCACAGCTCAGGTTTTCCCTCAATCCTTACGGCATTTTTGAGCACCTCTGTGATACTATTACACACATGGAAAATGCTCACCAGTTTGCCACCAATGGTCTAGCACTGGTACTCTGAAGACCTTTTTGGACCATTCCAGGGTATCCACATCACATCGTTCTCCAGCCACAAATAATGTTTTGAACCTGAGTATAAGAGGGAGAGAGAAAGAGTGAACTTTCATTATTTCTTGGCATAAATGTAAATAACTTCACCTATCTTCGCGAAACACTGTAGAATCTAACCACATCGATTACGTTAGGGAAAAACAGTCCTCTTACCTGCATGTCATACTAGAATAGTGAGAGGTCTTAGTTATTTTGGCCCAAATGTAACCAAATGCACATCCCAGCATTGGACCAGAGTGCTTCAAAACAAAGCAGGAGTCATAGCTACAGCTTCTCAGTTTAAAAAAGACCAACCGAACTGATCTCTGCAATGTATCTGTCATATTGATCTTATGATCAACAAAAAAAATATTTTTGACCTTTACCTTATCCCCAATAATTTTAGCTTCAAGTTTGATTGCTGTATTCTATTTAAGAATACACAAAATACACTAAGAAGTATTAGTTGAGGCAACAAATATGCACAGAAATACGATGCTCTTATTCCTTGTGAGTTCCTTTGTTAAGATTACCCTGATTTCAAGAGCCTATCTCCCCTACTCATATATGTAGAGGTAAATATAAATATTTATAAACTTTCATATCCATAGAAATATCAATATCTGTATCTACTGGGTCATTAGAAAAGTCATGACATATTTTTCTATGCAAAACTGTTAGGACATTTCTGATGACCCAATAAATGGTAAGGTTGCTGATGAAATCTATGACTGGGAATATCATGCCATAGACAAAGAGAATGAAATAGAAAAACAGAATTGAGTTGACCCTATGTGTGGTTCATTGAGAAAATGGTTAGTTTTCTTCCATTTTCAATACCCTTGTGGATACCAAAAAAGAGGGGGGAGGTAAGTGTATAAAGAGACACTTCATTGCATCAAAGTGAAAACCAAATAATCAACAAACAAAAACCAGCCTAAACCAGGCGCGGTGGCATGGGCCTGTAATCCCAGCTACTCCAGAGGCTGAGACAGAAGGGTGGTGAATTTGAAGCTAGCCTGAGCATATAGCAAGATCCTGTCACAAAAAACAAACCCAAACAAACAAACCTGCTTACTCATCCCTAACCTTGTAATTGACAACAGAAGATATTTTATCATTCCCTTATTTTTATCATATCATTTCATGAAGATTCATGGAGATTCAAGTATTTCTACCTCAATGCTCTATTAACATTCAGTTTCCAGCTCTGCTATAAATATGCATCTCATTCTATAATTACTTGTTTCTTGTCTATTTCCCACACTCATCTGTGATCTTTTTAGAAGTATTTGTCTTTACAATCACAACATCAGTCAAAATACCTAGGATTTGCAGGTATTTAAGAGTTTCTAAATTCTCAGAATGATGAAGTACAAGCAAGAATGAAAAGTTGGTATAACAGGCCAGTTTGACTCGTTCTTCTAAGTAAAAAAGGCGACATGATGACTTTTTGTTTGTTTTGTTTTGGAGAGGTTTTTGCTATAGGACATGTGTGCTCACCAGAGAGAGAGAGACAGAGAGAGAGAAATCACCCCCCGGGGGGATGGCCACGCTGTAATCCTTTCTCCTCCACTCTCCTCTTGGGATCTTGGGCATGCACGCACACGTGCCTGGCATGAGTTTAAGCCACCGGGTCCGAGACTCGAACTGTGGTCCACTACATGGGACTCCAGCAACATAGCCATTACACCAACTGCTGGTTCTGATGATTTCTAAAAGTGTGGAAATTGACAAAGGAACAGTGATTTGAGGAGATAGAGTTCTGGAATGACTATTTTGGAAAACATAAGGTACTTAAAACAAAAGTGAAAGAACTTACGAGCAGCCAATTGGCTTTTACGGACTTGGACAGTAGCCTGGGAGGCTAAGCAGGGATAGCACAGGCTGATTGTGACACAGAAAAGAAAGGATGGTTGATCAGTGCTGGAAATACCGTCTGAATAATCTAGACTGGGCAAGAGAAGTGGTGAGGCAGGGAAGGCATACTCAGAAGAGAAGGAAAAAAAAAAAACCAGAAAACATATCAGGTTAATGGACTAGAAGTTACAAAATAAAGAAAATTGACAGAAATGTAGGAAGATTCAGAAAACAGGATATAGAAGAGTTGTGAGAGAGGACAAAAGCAGACCTAGAGATCTTGAAAACATATCTGTTCTGAGGGATGATAATGTTTATGAGAGCTGAGAGAACTTAACATTGAAAGGCACTGGGGCAAATAGTGTGTTGAAAGGAAGATTATGGTTAAGACGTTAATAATCACTCCAAGGCTGTAGCAGGGGAGAGGAGAGAGGATGTCCATGACTTACTGACGTCACTGAAGGGAGCTCTAAGGAGGGAGAGGTGTTAATAGATCGGAGGCGTGGATTGTAATAGAAGATGGACTGTAAAATGGACGAAGCCATCAGGTCCCCACGTTATTAACCTTCCTTTAACCTCTTTTGTAATTTTTAAAAATCTTTATCTTATTATTTTTATTATTTTTTATACATTCAATTGCTACACATCATTTAGCTTGTAAAGAGAATTTACCCAACATGAAATATACCTCAGATCAGTCCAGCTGAGAATAATAACGTTTATAGATAACCTGGGCCTCAAGGTGCGACTTGGCCTCAACAGTCGGGGGGAGGAGTAAAAATTTTTTTAAAAATGAAAGTTATTCTACAGAAAATCCTTGATGCAAACAAGCTATTGAAAACACATGGTAATTAATTTTAAAATATAAATGAGTCACCTATAAAAAGCATCAACATTTAAAGTACTATCACTTGAAACTATTCACGGTAATTTTTATCTATGGGAAAGCCTGTGTACATGTAAGGGTATCAAAGGAGATTTTAGTTAATTTCTGTACAACACCCACTGTCCTGTTACTGCTGTTTTTAAAACTGTTACATATTTTCTCAGGAAAGAAGGGCCACCATCTGCTAATATAAGTATTTTCAGGGAATTAAAAGATCTTATCACAAAATCATATTTTTGGAAAGGCATGGTTGGGACTACGAAGATTATCTAGATTGGTAGGGTCCAACTGAAATAAATATAAGGCAAACCACAAATATAAGAAATATCAGAATTTTCTAGCAGCCACATTCAAAAAAGTGAGAAAATCAAGCCTTCCTCAGTTTTCATATTTTCTTAAACTAATTATATCCAAAATATGACTATTTCAACATGCAATAAAGATAATATTTACCAGCTAGATAGCTTCCAGGCTTTTTTACACACTAAGTCTCACTTCTGACTTACCATCTTTCAAGAGCTCAATAGCCACACAATGGCCCTGTGCATCCCTACCTCTAGGGGACAATCAGCCCCATGGGAAATCACAGAAGTTGTCTGTGACTTTCTGAAGGAACAACAGATTTCTAATACTGGTCTGGATGAAAGAGCATTTTAATTTAATATTAGATAGACATTCTCTCCTCAAGCCATTATGCCAATAATTTCTTAGACTTGGATCTGCGTGTTCACGTGTGGGTGTGCAAGCATCGTTAAATGCAGCAAAGACAATCTATTATTTAATGTTTCCATAAGCAGGCTGTCATCACAGCAGCTTTGCAAGATTGAGGGTTTGGTTTAAAATCATTAGGCATATTTATAGGACTTCAGATAATGATACAATACAGTATAAAAAATAATGTTTTGAATAGCTTCCCAGTGACATATCCAAAATTATCTAGGAGTCATTCTTTAACAGGATAGATTCAGAAGGTAAAACTTAAATGTCTTAATAAAGGCAGAGAAGCATAACTCCAAACGTCAGATCAGAAAAGAACCTACTAGTTGTTTTTGTTAAGAAATCATTTGAATAATTTAGGTGAGTATATTCTCTGAGTATACAGTTGCCAGTATGATATTCAGATTTCTGAAGACAAGAAAGGGAGACAGAAAGTAAGGATTAGAATGGGAAAGAAAGGGACCAGCAGTTAGCGTAATGACTCCCACGTAGTCGACCAGACCCGATGGCTTAAAACTCACACCGGGCGCATGTGCGTGCATGCCCAAGATCCTGAGAAGAGAATGGAGGAGAAGGGATTGTGGCGTGGCCATCCCCCCTGGGGGGTGATTTTTCACTTTCTGTCTGTCTGTCTGTCTCTGTCTGGCGAGCACACGCGCCCTATAGTGAAAACCTCTCAAAAAATAAAAATAAAAAGAATGGGAAAGAAATGAGGAGGAATAGAAATTTCTAATAGAGATTAGAAAGACATCATATAATTTGACAAATTACATATATATGTATCATCTGTGATAAAATTTAATTAGTCAAATGCATATGCTTATAGCTTGAAATTAAAATTTGGATAATCAAATACAACTTCATCTGACAGAACTGTTATAACAGAACAAAACACATATTTATATTAATTAACTTTAATTAAATTGAGCCAGCAGTGAACATGGTGGTTAAAGCTCTGGACTCCCATATGGTTGACTCTGGTTTGAGTCCCAGACCTAGTGGCTTGAAAATCACACCAGGCATGTATGTATGCATACCCAAAATCCCAGAGGAAAATGGAGGAGAAGGATTGCTATGTGGTCATTCCCCAGGGGGCTGATATTTCACTTTTTCTCTCACTGTCTCTCTCTCTCTCTCCAGCAAGTACACATGGCCTGTGGCAAAAAAATTTTAAAAAAGGAAACTATATGAATTAAACATTCAATTATTAGAAGTTAATATGTAACAAAGATCAGTGTAAAGTTTTAAAGTTTAAAACAAGTTGATACATCTATGACTTTAGACACCATATGAAAACAAGACATATGAAAAATATAAAGTTTATATTGTTGATAATCCCAGGACTGAAGATATGAACTTATTTTAAATTGTATCTTACTCAAACAGTTTCCCAGTATTTTAGAAAACTTCTGTGCTGAAGGACATTTTATATTTAGATAATCTGTTTTAAAATTTATGAAATGATAAGATTGGCTGATTCCAATAGTGTAGGCAAAAAGAGACCAAAATAAAAAGGTTTATAGACATCCCATTTTTAGACATCCCATTTTCACCATTTATAAGGCCATAGATTGCC